CTGTGCTGTAGTTCCTTTATAGCCCAACATTAGCCTCCTTTAGCTTAGCGGTGGTGATGTGAAGTCATGTGACTGTGCTCTAGTTCCTTTATAGCCCTACATTAGCCTCCTTTAGCTTAGCGGTGTTGACGTGAAGTCATGTGACCGTGCTGTAGTTCCTACACCAAATATGTTGTCACTGTGTTAGTGCAATTTATGGCTCACCAACCTTAAATGTTAACACAGAGAGGGATCAATAAAACACAGACATGGTTGAGATTAATTATTATTCAGTTACGCAACAACAATAATAATCTTTGAGTACAACATCACCTGCCACAGCAGTCAATCGTGGAAATGCCCCCTGAATACCAGAAACAGAGGGCAGATATAGGTTTTCTAAATGACACACGAACATGTTCCCGAACCATGTTTAACGCACACACATTTTCAGGTCTCCTAAACTTGGACATGTTCCAGATGTAGAAAGGTCATCATCTCATGACGTCTTTAGGAGTCTTGCAGGATATGACAACCCAGTCTCACGGCATTTCGTGTCATAGTCACGACATTTAATCTATTGATTCGTGTTCACCAACACGATTTTCCCCTTTTTTTCGTGTCACACAGAACGATTTTAAAAGCAATGTATTTCTATTGGTAGTCTGTTTCGTGCCTGCAGCACGTCTTTTTGTCCGTTCGGGTCTTGGAAGACCGGAAGCTGTGGGGTTCATAAAAACATGTTCTTACTCAATATCAAGTAATGCAAAAGTATATGTAATGCACTGTTGAGGAACCTCAGCTGCGACCCAAGTTTTTCATTCATTGCATAACTACACCGTAGTTGTGTATATGGTATGTCAATAAACCTTAGAAAATCTTGAAATCTTGAAAGGGTTGGCAAATTAGCCATAATATACAGTCTTTAATGAACTATTAGTAGAGAATAACGAGTAATGAATATACTTTATTACTCGTTTCCATTCATGCCAATTGCAGATAAATGTTTAGTCTTCTCAAGCACCAACTATCAAATATCTCTCCTGATTGTTGGCACTTGACAACCTGAACCTGATTTAAGGGTTGTTTATATTTCACATCATTAATCAGAATCTGCAAATTAACTCAAATAAGTGTAGTGGAGTAAAGATACCAGGTTAACCTCTGAATTGTAGTGGAGTAGAATTACAAAGTAACAATGAGCTGTCATGTGGGTATATATTAATGCATTATGGACACAAGAGATTTTCACCCATTTATTGATTATATGTTTTACATTTGATAACACCAATGTGTTTAATACTGGCAACTTCTAATTGTGGGAAAAACGAAAACGTTCAGTAGAGAAGTCCCATAGAACATTTTGCGAAACACAATAGCCAGAATGTGGGGGGCGTTCGATTCCAGTTTTGGATAGTCTGGCGTGGTTTCGTTCCATTTCAAAGAGCTGTTTGACGCTCGGCGTAACCTTGGCACACTGCCACTCCAACATCCAATCCCAGAGCTTGAAGATTAATCGCGGAGACAGTAGTCCTAAACGATAGCTGGGGATTATGGGTAGTGTGTAGTGTCTTCGGCCATCCTAAACTCTGCAATGTTTTTCGGATTTCATATCGCATTAACACCATATCCCAACGTGCATCGCGGCTAAAACATTCAATCACCGAGCTTAAACCATAGCTGAGGATCTTGGGTAATCAGTTCAGTGGCTTTGTATCGCAATGATGCTCGAAATGTCCCATATAGGCCTATGTCTGTTTCCGGTTATTTTATTTTGAAATTCAGTTCCTGACGGACGCCAAAAAAGCCAGAGATTATAGAATTAAACAAATAAATAAAAACAAGGATAATTGTGTGTTATTGTTGAGTAAATAACAGTGTGTTATTTAGAAAAGAATAACAAATTAGAAGGAAAAACATATTTTAAAAAATACAGATTTCAGTATTCTGAGGCTCTGAGTCCCATTTCTTTTCCTCGCGGACGACAAAAAAAGTCAGACATTATACTATTTAAAATAAAACAATAATCGTGGCTTGATATTGAGTAAGACATTTTTTTTTATGAACCACACAGCTTCCGGTCTTCCAAGTCCCGACCGGACAGAAAGACGTGGTGCAGGCACGAAACATACTACCAATAGAAATACATTGCTTTTAAAATCGTTCTGTGTGACACGAAAAAAAGGGGGAAATCGTCGAATCAATAGATTAAATGTTGTGACTATAACACGAAATGCCGTGAGACTGGGTTGCACTGAAAGACTAACCATATTGCTGATCCTATTTCAGTTTTATAAAAAAGTACAATTTCAACATCATTGTGTCTTGATCTGATGTTTGTAGTGCAGCAGAGTAAACAACAACATATATGTAGATAATAAGCTTAAAAACTGATCAAATGGAATCTATTATTTGTATTTTGTACGTTTGCATGATAGCAATCCTATGTGTTTAGAAATTGTCATGTCAGTATTAAGATGCATGTCTGTTGGACCTGACATTTAAAGTAGCCTTTAAAAAGTGAGTTATTCACCCTATGAATATTAAGTGACGGATTAATTTAAATGATGACTGATTCTACTCTTATGTCTGCATACTAAACATGAGGGGAGAGCCAGTAGCTGATTAGCTTAGCTTTGCAAAAACACTTGAAACAGGGGAAATCAGCTATACTAGTCTGGATTACAATTTTACATTTCCACATATTAAAAATCATGTTAATGATTAAGCTTTAAGGTGCTGCTATGTGCATTATTTTATTTTGGAGAGGGCCAGGCTAGCTGTTGCAGCAGTCTTTATGCTAAGCTAGCTAGCCAACTGCTGATGTCTCTGGTTTCTTTTTGAACATCAACAGAGCAGTAACACACTTTATCCCCATAAAAATTACAACTTTTTCTCAAAATATTACAACTTATTATTATTATTATTATTATTATATACTTATTCACAAAGTCTTAGAAAACTCAGATATGTGCGATATATTTTGAATCTGCAGAACGTTTTTAACAAGCAATAATTCTGCTGTAACACATAAGGGCTATACAATTCTAGGTGGTTTATAAATTAATTTAAATAAATATCATCATTGACATTCTCGCATAGCCAGACCTATCTCGCGCTTTGTCTGGCTCCATAATACCATTTTACGACAGAGAAAATACATCATGGCTTGTTTGTATTTCTTTAAGCTAATCACAAGCACCTATGAAAAGCATGCAGGGACAGTCACAGATAGATAACACAGATAGTGGAAGTGCTGCCTGAGAGACGCAGCCATTTGCAGCCTTAAAGCCACTATTAAGTTTCAGTGAGTCAGACTATTATCTAAAGTGAACAGGTGACACATGCACATTTAAAGAGGTTACTTCTCAAAATAAACACACAAAAAAAGAAGGAACTCAGTTGGGGGAATAAGGAAAAAACTGATGGGGTTGTGTTACAAAAACTTCTTAACTAAAGGTGCAATTCACAACAATAAAAACATTCAGCCACTAGATGGCACACTACCCCTCCCCCCTTTTATCGAGTCACAAGAAAGTGATGCCAGTTTGATGCACAACCTGCATTTTTCATTGATAGTTTTTATGTACGGCCAAACAAATTTTAAAACCCTCTTTTTCTTCACCAACTAGCAAATACTATGACTCTTGATCACTGACGACATAAAGGTACCACGTGATACCAACGTCGTTATACTATTGTCTCACAAGCCCGGTTAGCGAAAGGCAGTGGCGGCAAAAATCTTTTCAGATATCTTTCTCAGAAATATAAATCATTGAACATTACAAAAATTACAACTTTAGAACAATGAGCACTTAACTTCAAGAGAGACGAGTTAGAGGTGTTGGTAAAACTCGAGATAAAACAAAGAAGGCGCACTTGTGGCTGTTGACATTTAGTTTGTCTTGTAAAATCCATAAAAGAGCAGCCTTATAGATTACATAATTATCTAACACTACCTGGTGGAGAGGTTAGGACAGTTTAAGAGTTTTCCTAAAGTTCAGAGTGTTGTTTAAAATTTTGTTTGGATGCTTATGTAATATCCTTTTCTATCTTAAGTTGGGATAGGAACATTAGGAATCGTACATATTAATTTTAGGTCCTAATCCTGATTACCATGGTAACCAGACAGTTAAAATAGGGTTGGCAAGTTGAGAGCAATAATGACATCTCAACCATAAATTGGAGCATAAGAATAAACAAAAAAGCAGGAAAATAAAAACTGGATGAGGACCCCCACCGTCCCCCCCCTTGATATTAACCCCACCCAAAATGTTGTGACAAACCTTTGCCTTACATATATATTTGCTTACATCAAGTTTTAAAGGTCGCAAGGCTCTAAGGGAGGAATAATTAATCAACTTTCCATGCCACTATATGTCTGGTTTAACCTTGTTTCTAAATATATTTGATCTTGTTCCACGTAATGACAGCAGTCACCTCTTCCTTGTTTTTCAGAATGACACTTGATGCACCACCCCCTGTTGTTGCCTCAAGGTAAAGTAAGGATAAAGTTTGTTTTTACCCCCTCTCCTTAACTCCTGGGGGATGTGTCATAGGGAACACAACAGGTGGAGGAATAATGGCAATGATCCCGTGGCTTTAAACTGGAAGGAATTCTGATGATAACGTCAAGTGCCAAATGTTAGATCTTGTCCAAGGGGAACAAGTCAAAGATCCCAGTGGGTCCCCCAATTAGAGGCAAGCATTAGTAATTGATGGTGTGTCAGCAGCAACTGTTTGAGTCAAAAACAAGGTCTCAGCTACAGGTTACTCCAGGACATGTTTACACATTTTGCGCTTTTGAAAAATAGATGCGTAAGAAAAATATTTCATAACATTAAAATGCCGTGGCCTCCTGAAGTTTAGTTCTTAAAAAGGAATGAAATGTTGCCTAACATGCCAGGAACGCACCTTGCCGTTTCCTCTTCGTGACTAACTTCAATAAATATATTATTGACAGTGTGACACATTATTACTAACCTTGTCACACACACTCAATTGGCATCTCTTTGAAAATGATTTGCAGTGGTGCATGGTCACAAGGCAAAATCTGCCCTAGCATCCTAAAGGAGAGTAGCAACAGAGAAGCCCATTGGCCGAGAGATCGCAGCAGCTGAAATAGCTATGTAAACACTTTCCCTCTCTCCGTGAGCCCCAGTAATTATAGCCAGGATGCTGGTGACGACAGTTGTCCCATCGAGACTTCAAATGGGGGAATACATTTGACATTATGATATTTGATACCGGCTCCAATGGCGCGCCCACGTAAACAGTAAGGCGCGGTATAAAGGCTGGGGACCCCAGCTGGAACAGAAATTGTTTACCCTTTAGCTCAGCGATCAGGACTTAACGCCGAGGCGTGACTAGAATCAGGGCCCTTTAAATCTAGTCCAAGGGGTTATACGTAATACAGAGGTGGAAACAAGCACCGGAGAGAGGAGACTTCACGTTTAGGCGCAGAGGGGAGTGCATGTGTTGGAGAGTCCGGAGCGAAAAGCGCGCGGGAGGTAGAGCAGACTGAGGATTTATACTGGAGCATTGAACACGCTTATGTTGAGCAAGGTAAGAACAGCTGTTTATAATGAGGCGGAATTGTAGCTTTAATGGAAATTCATCGGATTTATGGGAATCATTTCGAATTAATGGTACATAAACTGAAAGTATACAAATTGAGACTGCATGCATGGCAAAGCCTGATGTTGAGTCTACTGTTACATTTTTATTTTTTTCAATATCTATTCCATATACCATGTTGAATTTTCTCATCGCACGAGTAGCCTACTTGTATCTGTCCCCCTCCCATGCGCACAGGCCACGCCGTAGGTTTACTATGCATAGTTACACGATTATGAGTATCTCTACTGTTGCATAACAAGTGGGAGGGAAGTGGCTGGTACATTCGGGCACCTTCATTAGGATACTTTAATGATGGCAACAACATCAACAAAGCCAGGGGATGCACAATAATAGTTAGTCCTCGCTTTGGGATCATGATGGCATCAATATATTTTGACCAGACCACATTGACAGTGTTTAAAAGTGCATCTGAGGGGCAACTTTAGAGATTAAGTTGTATCTTTCTCTCCAGGTTGGGAGACATACAGAGTCAGGCTGGAGGTCAAAGTGAACAAAAGCTGTCATGACATACTTACATGACTATGCATTTTTTTAAGAATGCGAAAGAAGAGGTTGGTGAAGTCTGACCTTTGTTAGGCCAGAAATTGACCAAAAATACAAGCCCTTTAACTACAGGCAATTAAAAGAAATGGGGCAATTATGTTTCACTTGATTAATTGGAACCTCAATCAGGTGTCATTTGCACTGGTGCAGTATGTTTTATGCTGCCTTGTGTTGAAGACATAGAAAAAACAGCATTGTGAATGGTTGTCGAAATGTTCACTTGTCTAAAGCAAAAATAATTTGCACCAAAAATGTGTATTTCATAAAATATACTAACAGTCTTTTCCCCCCACCATGTGTTTTTCTCTACAGTGTTTCCTGGCCATTGATCCTTGAAAACCTAGGGTAACATCTGACAGTAAAGTGAAACAGGAGAAAGGGGAAATTGGCATTTAAAGGGGCCTCTAGGTATTGACCGGCCTGCGTCATGGCAGCCATTGATCTGGAGCGTGGGCTGGAGCACAGTGGCAGGGGCTGGGGGCAGGAGAGGCCGGAAGTGATGGACAACTTCGATTCAGAGATGCAAGAGTGGGAGGACCAGCTTCAAGACATCCAGCAACAAATCGAAGAGGTAAGATTTTGTTAAAGAAAATTATGTCTCAATTAAGTCTCATTCTTCAACTTGGACAAGTTGCATTTAAGAAAATTGATTATTCCATGCTGCTCTTCGCCCTAAAAAAACACATTGTATCTAAACATGACACATACAGCGGGTCTATGCAGTGTGAATCTAATGTGAATTATAGGACAGTTGGGGTCAGTGATTCTGCATAATACTATACCTAGGAATGTAAATATATAGAGGTAAAATTCACCAGCTTCACGGTATTTCTGTTTTCTGGCGTTAACTGCAGAATTTAGTTATGCAAATATTTTCATGAAAGATAAAGAAATGCATAAAAGGCATAGTCTTCTTTCGCTTAACAGTGCAACAGTTTTCACCGTGATCAAACATGCTTATGGTTCTGTGTCCAGGTTATGTATGCTTCCCTAGAGTGTGTGTTAATTGAAGTAATATGTGTGTGTTGCATGCGCACGCACACACAAACACACACGATACTAAACGAGTATTAAAAGTCGTGATGGGAAACAGATGGTTGTGCAAAGTGGAATAACATGTGCCGGTTATAAATATAGGTTAGGTTTTCTGATAATTATAAAACTTGCTTGTTGTGTAAACACAGTTCCTGTCATTCAGCCGTGTTTTGCATGTAGTTGGGTACAACATGGGGAAGTAGGAAGTTGTTTATGTGTCCTTCTGTTTCAATCTTTGCAGTTGTACAATGGAGTCCAGGCTCGAAGAGGAGCAAACGATATCCCTACTGACAACCAGAAAAATGGCAGCGAGTTGAAGTGCGGCCTGGGGCACCATGGCAATGGTCTCTTTGCGCCCGGACAACACAACAACAATCACCCCGGAGCTATAACTGTGCCACATCACTATAGTAACAGCCGTAACTATAGCCCCAGTGGGTACAGCTACCCCAGTAGTCATCAGAATGGCTATGGTTATTGCAACGCCAACTCAGAGATCGGAGACTTGTTGCAGGATTATTTGGAGCAAGGGAAGCAAATAAGCCAGAAGAATAACGGAGCTCGCCATGTGGTAAGTGGAGGCATTTTAAGCATTTCCCTGCCCGAATGCATCATTGTGTTGGCGTCTGCACATATGATGAAACCAAACACGTGATAAGAGTCAAAGCTGGGGTTCAGTTGGGAACATATGGATTACAGTTAGTTGGTTCCTTCCAGTCTGCTTACAGACAGGTTACCACATTGGCGTTAGTTTCACATACTTTCACCAACTCCTGACAAATTAGACAAGAAGGAAGCCAAGACATTAAACTGTTTCCTGTTACACATTATAACGTTCAAGTATAGTAGATGACAATTAGGAGTTCTTTATCGTGTGAGGATCAAGGGTCAGCCGAGGTTCTGTTTTAGTAAGTTACAGTAAACAGAACATTGCCATTGGGGGATCTTGAAGTATCACTCTTGTTAAAAGCTATAAATATAGTAGGTAGAGGTTAATATGATGATGGATGTGGTGATTTAAAAATATTTTATCATTTCTCTCAGCGCTTCAGCGATACAATCAAGGTGAGCCCGGTGACAGAGATCAGAAAAAGTTCTGGAAATGAAAGGTAAGTGCCACATTCAAGAACCTTTTGTAGAATTACGTGATGGGTTTGGGAAATACCTGCTAATTCAATTTTTGTCTTCTTTGGTTTGGTACAGGCTTGGTCAAGAGCAGTTTGTGGGCAGTTTTGAGGAAACTGAAAACAGAAGGAACCATGTGTCTCATCTGAAGAGCTCCTCTCGTCGAGAGAGTTCCCCCAACAAAGAAAACACAGGCTCGAAACCTCCTCTTGGACAAAGAGATGTCCCTGCTAGTCAACCACGCTCACAGCTCCCAACCACAAAAGCTGAATCTCCGGCCCTGGAAAGGAAGTCCTACAGTCCTGGCGTCATGGGAGACAGGAAGTGCGGCAGCCCTTCTGTCCTCAGGAAGTTTGGAGCCATGCTTCAGGAAAACGAGGGCAAAACACTGACTGAATCAGGGGTGGTGACCAATCAGGGGCCGGCTCCGGAGCCAAAGTGCCCAACCCCCAGCTGTCAGCGCAGAGCTCAGGGAGCCACTGCAGTCGCCAGCAGGGCGCCTATGCGCGTGCCTACCCAGAAATGCCGAGCAGATTCCGACGTGCTGACAGCAGAGATAGAGCCCGGCCAAGAATGGGGGCTCATATCAGACTCTGGTAGACAGAACCACAAGGATCACAGAGGAGCCTACAAAGGGTCCCAGCGGGGTCCTCAGATGTCCCCGAGGAGATCACCGGTGACGGGAAGCCCAAAGCTTAGACCCAGGGCTAACAGTGGGGGAGACAGAGACGGAGGACTGGCTCAAGGGGAGAGAGGAAGGAAGCCTGCACCCCAACATGCAGAGCCCAAAATTGACTACCGGGCCTCAAGTGCTTCCTCTGGAGTTCAGAAGATCCAGAAGGGTGGGTTAGCGGGACACGAGTTGGCAGGTTGTGGCAAAGTGAGGGATGAAGGACTTATTGAACTGCTGGACATGTTGGATATCCAACACGAGTACAGCTCCAGTCCCAAAGCGAGAGAAACAGCTTACAGACAGGATCCACAGCAGGTAAGTCTTTTTTAGCTATAGTACAATTGTTAAAAAGCTACCAGTGATGATGTACAAGCTAACATGTTTGCCATTACGTCTTTGTTCAGGTAAACCCAGACCAGTCGTCCGCTGACAATCTTAGTAAAAGCTTCTCTCGTCCTGCACGGCCAGCCAACCAACGACCTCCTTCCAGGTGGGCCGGCCGCACCCCTACCGCCATCATCACCACTCCATCAGGCCCAATGTACCGTCCCCCAAGCCCCCTGGCTCGCACATCTAGCCCCATGACCAGAACCCCAAGTCCCGCGCTGAAGCGTCGGCCCCATGTTTCCTATTCTCTTCAGACTGAGACGGTCATTATGTGATACCTGTCCATTTCAGATTAAGCTTGATCCCTTCCTCCTCTCTCTGTGTAAATAGTAAGGACTTTTTCTGTGAAACAAAGTGCTTTGAGAGTTAAAGATACGCTTAATTTCATCTTGATGCCATGTTCAAGAAAAAAAAAACATTCTCCAGGGTTGCTGTGGCTTTTTGCTTCTTCTGTGCTTAAACACATTAACAGATTGCTTAGTTGCAGCCCTCCCCTTATCCTCTTTTTGTATTAAATTTCAGGTGTTTTCTGTATAATGAGATTTTGCATGCAGCCCTAGTTTAAGGGTGCATGCTCATGGGTTTAATCCTCATGGCGGCCATGTTGAATCAAATTCAACCTGGACTCCAATAGGAGTAGATGAAGTTGCAACTGTGTTCCCAGCAGCAATCTGCTTACTATCAACATCAGTGTGTTTTACTGTATCATATTGTTAAAGTAATATATTTAAGATGTTCGAATAACTGCTGTGACAAATTGCTATGATATGCCTTTAATGTATTTTTTTCCTTGGTAATAAATATGACAGTGCTTTGACGTAAAGACTCTTGTCTTTGTCTATGGCGGCACTGCATTGTTCCATTAACGATTGCTCATATTTCATAATTTACTGTATGTCAAGCCTATGGTTATCTGATACACAGGCAGCCCTCTGCATGCCAGTGCAATGGCAGCTCAAGCAGTGTCAGTTGCAGTTGCAAATGAGCTAGCTATCCACCAACTTCAACACATCAACTGGGTCAAACATACCTGAGGAACTGCATGATCAGGTATCGGACAATTTACAGATTGTCTAATAAAAGGAGGGTTTTTGAGGTCCATAAATTACACAGCACTTGGATTACTTAGATTTAATTATATATTTTTAAGCATTAATCTTGCATAGTGTTGGTTCAAAAGCAATTACGTAATCGGTCGTTAGCACGATGCCCAGTGTGCAGCACACATACACAGACATTTTGTAGCAATAGGGATCACTTTTCATGCTCAGTGTTTCTCGCCTCTTAACAACCTATGGCTTCCCTGACACCTCCTTCACTGAGGAAGGTGACAAAACACACCCTCTCAGCTTCTCCCGTAAACACGCAAAATATATCTTGCCGTTTTCTCTCAACGTTAAAAAAAACGTTTGTACATAAAAGCACATAATATGCTCAGCCACACATTAATACAAACACACTCTGCTCTGAAAGAGGTGGCCAAAGTGTAAAATGCCACATACAGTAAAGGCTGTGAGGGTGTACGGAAGTACATTGGCCCGGTGATGCCTCATCCCTGTCACCCTACCTCTCGGTGCCATGTGGCACCTGATACGGAAATAGCAAGCGTGACGTGTGTTTTGGTGCCAGAAATCTTACCCTGCTGTCTTTGGGGGTATAAATAAAGAGCGGGAGGGGGACGTTGGTTCCTCTCTCTGCCCCCTGATCTCTCTTTCATCTTACCCGTACCCTTTTCTGCATGTTATACCAAATCATTTTGACAGATTGGCAATATAGTAGTTTGCTCTGTCCTCTAATATCGCCTCTATCTATTTGTAAATAATGATCATTTTTGTGTCCTATTCTCACTGGTTTTAAATGCAGTATCTTCCCCTTATCCCTCCTCTGTCCTCATCAGGCCCCCTGGTGACTGTTGGCAGGTTGCTGTCTGCATGCTCCACACCAAATAAATATTCTGTGGTGTGCATGTTTTCACCCTCCGTTCCCTTTTTTTTTTACCCTGCTTCCCTGACTGAGGACACTCTTTGCATACTGCATGCAGAGCTTGGCACATGTCCTCCACTGGACAGGCTATATTCATGAGAGCATAGACAGAGGGAGAAAGAAAGAGAACATGAGAGCAGACAGCTGAACTGTAGCCATGGCTCCCCTGACGTCAGAGGACCATGTTGTCACACCCACTCTGACGCCGGAAAAAAATAGTTTGGATCACAGCACAAAAGACTTCTAGGACTACCTCTACAGTTACACAGCTTTTATAATTGGCTTTTGTAATCCTGCACAGATACAATCAAACACATTTATGAAGGTAAAACACCATCTGTACATAGATAAGGCCTTCTCTGACATCTGGGTTTGAGTTGCACTTGTTCTCATGGCTTTGATCATAGTAAAGGATGTTGTTCTGCCATCTTGAGAGGTTTATTAGACTAAGTTTGTGGGTGTCATCATGTGTGCGTGTGTCTACAAGGCACTAAAGGCAAAGTGATGTTCCGCATATAAATCTAACCTGTTAAAACAATAATAGCTAGTAACCCTTCGGTTTACGGTCTTCAGGACTGAGGTTATCCTATGGTAACACTTAAGGTCTTGTTTAGACTGCCAGAACAAATAGTTTATTGGCATATCCAAATCGATTAAAAAAAGTCTAAACAGCAACGACTATTCATAGTGAGCTGAGCAGAATCCATCGTGCTGCTAGAATAATGCTATGGTAGAGACGATCAAGGAGTTCAACAGTCCATGAGAACACCAGGCGGCTAAAAATGTAATTATGGATTTGGATTCATTTGTAGGAATGTATGTTCATATGCAAGTCATTTATTCCAGCTGCATTCTGCAAAGGCCTTGGTTGTAGATATACTAATACTCTTTAATTAAGACTTACTTTAGCTTGGGAATGAGTTAGCAAGACATGTTGGCAACACTTGCTTTGCACAATGTTGGTAAAAGACAATTAATGAGGACACTGACGGCTGTTAGATTGTATTGTCAGCAATATATCAACTTTTTTATCAATTGGAATTCAGAATCTGAAAAACATAATGGTTACCTGTGGATGTATTAACTTGAAACAGAAGCACTGCACTTTATAATTTGGGAAGAAAGACTTGTGTGTGCTGCTAGCTGTCTAGACTCCTCCTGTGTGCACAAATAAACCAACATTTTAGAATAGGTTGTTGAAATTGACAACCTAAATATCTTGTGCGATCAAATAAAAAAATGTTTTTCTCTCTTGAAGATGACTCGGGCTCCGTTTTGCTGGTTTACCCAAGATAACAAAAAAAAAACATTACCAAGAGATAGATAGTCAACAATAGAAAATGAATGATTGTAACAATAGATCATTTTTGTAATAACATGGCATGGAAAGGGGATGATGTTTTATGTTAACCCTGGTAATTCAAAGTTCACCCGTAGACAGGGTAGACAGGATGTCTACAGTATAGTTGCTAGGCAGACTTCAAAGTTCTATACATCTCGATAAGCTCGATATATGTATGACCTAAACATTCATGTTTATGAGCGTTACATCTGTGTGAATAAGCCCCTGGTGGCTGACATAATGTCTTCATGGTTGTCTGAGGCATGTGTGAATCTTGTGCTCCTTCGTGCCTCCTCTCACCCACATCCACCTGTCCCCTGTCCTTTGCCCTCTGCCCCTGTCCCTACAAGCCTCTCATTCATTGGAGCTGGGTTCGGGGGGGTCTACACTGAAATCCTCAGCATGCGTCGGTTGCCACTGCAACGGACTCAAAATAGATTGTTAACTGCCACTTGTATGTGAGTGTGTCTCACAAAAATGTGGACAGATGAGTGACAGGACCACCCTGTTCCAGAGGACGACCTGAAACTGAGCTGTTTTACAGGCTTCTTCAATCCCTCTCTTTGCATTATACAGAATGTTTTCTCTTGTTAAAGTTAACAGTCCGGAGACGTTTACATGTCTCTGACTGCATGCATGTTAGTGTACTTTAAGTTCTACAGTGTTAGCATTTTTCTCCTACTGTAAAAAGGAAGTTCCCTCAATGGCATCCACCTGCACCTGACATCATGGATGTATAATAAGAACTGGATACAGCGTTGGAGGTGGGGTCTCGTTCTTTCCTATGAGAGCTGCTCATTGGCGCATGATGGCAAAATGGCCCAACTTTTGAGAGAGCGAAACGTCACAGATTACCCGTCATGCCTGGCTGTCAGAGCAGAAGTACCCGTATGTGCGCTCATAGAGCATGCGCAGTTGAGTTGCCACTTAAGTCCCGCTCCCCGAGCTCCCACTCTCGGCTCACTAGAATGAATGGAGAGAGAAAATAAATCTAGTATCGGCTTTTAGTGCATTTTACAACTTTAAGGACCGAATGATTCTAATAGGGGCTATATAATAGTTCATACTGGGTAATTTATTTAGTTAAAAAATATATATACGCAGATTTACAGACGTTTCTTTCCTACGGAGCCCAGGGGACATGGAGAAGAAAAAAAAAATATTTGAAAAAAAAAAAGAAAAAAGTTTTGCAAACTCGCAAAACTTTTCATTTAGCTCAATGTACTTCCTGGTCAGTTCGGCTGCTACGGCAACACAGAAACCACAACAATGGAGTGGTTCATCGATTTTACTTTGAGCTTTGCCTTAAATATAAAGATATAGCATCAGTGCTTGGCAATAGGTACGGGTTTCACACATAGACTGTATATATAAAGGGTTTCACATAAGTGAAGACACCTCAAGAGAACACTCAGAGCGAGGGGACATGCACGTCCCTCTGAGCTGAGTTATTGACAGATTCGAATTTCGCGGATCAATAATTCATGAACAAAACGTTGTAAAAATACAAACAACATGACTTTACAATCATAGCAAGATAGACAACGAGCTATAGAGTCGTTTTTATCAGAACAGTTCGATACGCGCCGTCATCCGAGCTAAACATCAAGAATTGGTCACCATCTGCAGCTTGAGGAGGGAGAGGAGTGCCTAGGGACCGTCTACAAACTGCAAAAGTATTGCGAGATCTCGCAAAGGGGTTTTGCGAGATCTCGCAAAGGTTTTGCGATATCTCGCAAAAGTATTGCGAGATCTCGCAAAGGGGTTTTGCGATATCTCGCAATGGGGTTTTGCGATATCTCGCAAAAGTATTGCGAGATCTCGCAAAGGGGTTTTGCGATATCTCGCAAAACATTTTTTCTTTTGTTCAAACATTTTTTTTTTATTCTCCATGTCCCCTAGGGGGCTCCGTACTTTCCCCATGTTAGTCAATGGGAAAAAGTATTTCTGGGCCCAGTGACGTCACGGACTGATACAGGAGTTGCAGTACCGCCGTTTGGACACAACAAATGTTGGGCACAGAGTCCGGCGCACTTCCTGGGGGCTTGCCTGACATGCGCATGCCTGGTTTCATAAACAAATGGACACCTGCTTTGCCATCTCAAAGAGCTTATGTGGTTCCTTCAGAAGCCGAAGTAAAAAACGTTGATGCACACCTTACATCAAGAAAAACTGACTGCCCTCTATTTGTATATCACAAATATGTTATGAAATAATACCAAAGATTCCGTTGATTAAGATCAATGAAAGCTAGACGTGGGGTCACATGGGGTTGTTGCTGGACCTATTCATCTTGAAAACCTGTATCAATAACAAGCCCAACAAGCTATTGTTCATCTAGTAGTGTTGAAGGCTTAAATTACAACTGTAGGGGTCAACACTGTTAGACCAAAGGTGTACTTTTAATCCCATCACTCTACACTTCAATTTTTCACCCGCTTTATCAGTACGTTTTTTTTTTAAGTACAAAACCTCCCATCTGTCGGACAGTA